GCTCCAGGTGGTACAGGCAGCAAAATTCCAAAATGCTTACACTTGTAAAATTTGTAAAAATAAACTGTTACGTAAATTCTTTAAGTTGTTTCAGTTGCCTGACTTCTGATGGATTTCCTGACAGGTTGTCCGCTTGGAAAGGATTGCGGTTGAGTTTGGTCCTTCTTCCCAGATAAGCTTACGTGTAACATCATTGAAAACAATCCTAGCTACAAAGCTTGCTCCCAGAATACTCCTGCCTTCAGTTACTAAGTGTTACAGTGAAGTGGCGAATACCAGGAAGGTGAGAATTTTTTCATTCTTTTGCATTGTAACTAAGTCACCTGCTCACCTTTGCTCTGCCAGTTCTCTTAACCCACCCCAACCACAGGCAAAAGAGTGGGGAAAAAAATGGGTTGATTTAAAGACAGTGTAACTAGTGCAAAAGAAACAAGTGGTGCAAAAGCAGTCATTTGCCACTGGCAGACAGATGTCCAGCGAGTCTCAAGAAATGGCTTCCTTTTGAGAAACTCTTGTTAAATGACTAATGCATCAGAGATAATCCCATTTGCAAATGCCTTGAACATGAGTTAGGAGTCACTTTCATTTATGCTTTGCTCCTGTCTCTGTAGGTGCAACCTTTGACTAGTGACTCTCCTGGGAGGGAGTGGGGAGACCAGATTCTCTTCAGAAGTACTAATAACTTAACTGCTCCCCCAAAAAAGTACAGTAAAAAATGATGTTATTGTTAGTATTCTCATGAGTAAACACAGGCAGTGCAAAATCAGATTGCCTTATTTTGTTTCTTGTGTCAGTGTGACATTTCTCTTTGCCTTGCTTTTGTTTCAGCAGAACTGCCTGGGTCCCCTTATGAATGTTCTGAAGGAACACATCATTGTGATGGAGAAGGAGCACCTAATATCCCATCAGGCGGAGCTGACAGCATTTTTCATGAAAGCCCTGGATTACCGGACAGACCATGCCCAGGTAGCTTGGTTAGGGGAATGAACAGAGGCAGCTCAGCCTGTATGTGCCAATTCTGTTGGTTGTTTTGTGAGCTGTAAATACTATGTTCTGAAATTGTTCATGAGGGTAGAGAATGTGTTTAGGTATTTTGCCTGAGTTAAAAAAAAAAAAATGTTTTGGAAACTGTCATTCTTACATTTCAGACTTGGAATTGTGCTTTCTAATTTTTCTAGGATGATTTGGATGAAGTTGGTAGAACAGAGATGTACATTATTGATTGTTTAATAAGCATGGTTATGAAACTTTCTGAGGCATCTTTCAGACCCCTTTTCTTCAAGGTAAGGAGCTTAAATATGGTCAGTATCAGCATCTTTGTATTCTCCTGCACAGAGATACAGGAATGAGCTAACCTGCCATTCACTTTCAGCTTTTTGACTGGTCCAAAACTGAAAGTGCCCTAAAGGACAGACTGCTGACATTCCACCGGTTAGCAGACTGCATTGCAGACAAGCTCAAGGGTCTCTTTACCCTGTTTGCTGGTCACTTAGTGAAGCCATTTGCTGAGACGCTGAACCAGCTCAACATTTCAAAAACTGGTAAGTTTTCAGTTACTAACTACACAGAAACACTGAGACAACTGTTGAAATTAACTTCACAGCACTCATCTTTCACTTATTTCCCCTCATAAATAAAGCATCTTTCTTATTGTGATGGGCTCTGGGCTGCCAGTTACAAAGTTGAAACACAGGAAAACTTTCAGTGTCAGTCCCTGTAAGTTCCATGAGAACGAAACTGGGTGGAAAGAGGGTGACTTGCTTCTGGCACTTGCCCTTCCTTCTGTTTGGTTTTTTTTCCATTTGTTCACTAGATGTGCCAGCCTACTGTTACTTGTTGCACTTAAACTCCTCTACCTACTAGCAAAAATAGATACTACTCTTTTTTTGTATGGGGAACTGTTTCCCTACCCTGTTTGTAGTAACCTACAAAAATTCTCCATAGCTACAGTATAGCCATGAACTTTTCTTGTAACCTGTAAGTATTTCCTTTTATCAACCAGCTAGTTCTGCATTGCAAAACAGACCTACTAGGGAATTAGCTAAAGGCCAGATAATATACTGCATCCACTTTCGTTACTCTAAGGGGTGACTACATAATTGCTATATAGTACAACATTTAGCTATGTTTACAACTCATAATATTTCTAGCTTATACATTTATCATTTTTGTGATTTTTCTTTTTCTGCTCCTCTGTTGATACACAGATGAAGCCTTCTTTGACTCTGAGAACAGCACTGAAAAGAGCTGTTTGCTGCTGCAGTTCACCCTGGACTGTCTGCATAAGCTCTTCTTGTTTGACACCCAGAAGTTCCTGAGTAAGGAAAGAGCAGAAACCCTGATGATGCCTCTAGTTGATCAGGTATTTACAAACTCAGAAGAGCAATCTGTGTCAGCTATTTTTTTCTGTCTGAAGGATTAAAAAGAAAAAAAACAAAATCAACAGCCACCTCTCAGGCCTCAATCCTCCCCCTTCCCACAAAAGGAGGAATTCATTCATTGCCTTTCAGCTACTGATGATATTGTTACACTTACTTAAAGCTTTGGATTACTAATTCTTTTATCCCCTTTCTGAACTTTTTCAGTCCACAAAGTACTACAAAGCCTATGCTAGAAATCAGCACTTTGAGCTAGGTTTATCTGAGCCTGGATCTCTATGACAAACATCTTACTTCCACAGCTGGAAAACATGCTTGGAGGAGATGAGAAGTTCCAGGAAAGAGTGACAGCACACCTGGTACCCTGCATAGCTCAGTTCTCAGTGGCAATGGCAGATGATTCTCTTTGGAAACCACTGAATTACCAGATCCTGCTGAAAATGAGGCACACTTCTTCTAAGGTTGGAAGCTATCAGAATGCATTTTTCTCTGTTGCATTACAAAATGCTAAGTGTCCCCCAAAAACAAGTGGTTTAGCAAAATCACTACTAAAATACTGATATTGTATTATGCTACCATCAAGTTCCAGAGATGTACGCAACATGTACTTCTACTCTTACTGAAAATCAGGAGGCTGTTGTTGTTTATTATACTTGGTAGCTGTTTGAATAAGAACTAACCCATTTATTTATAAGGAAAAAAAGATACTTTAGAGGGGAAGATGGAAGATAGTTATTTATGAAATGTCAGAGCTGTTTTTTTTATAAAGGTTTGTCACGACCTGCCTAGTTGACTGGTCATATCATGGGGAATACTTGTTTTTAAACTCTGTACTAAGTTAAGACATTGTGAAACAGTGGAACAAAGTGGCATTGTAAAGGGAAGTTAACTGACAAGTCTTCAACTTCAAGAAACATAGCTGCCTCTTGCAACTTCTTCCTTGTACAATACCTTAATCCAGATGCTGAGGTTTAAGTTAGCTTGGAATAGTTTCCTTCAGTTGGGAAAAGTATTTAAAAGCTAGGTGTGTTTTCAGGAGATGGAAAGAAGTTGGAAATGTTTGTTTCCTCACACAGATTGTTTTGTTTTAGGTTCGATTTGCCGCTCTGCTTGCTTTGCTCGAAGTTGCTGAAAAACTCAAGGAGAACTATCTGGTCCTGCTACCAGAATCTATTCCATTTTTAGCAGAGCTTATGGAAGGTAATATTTTAAAATGACCTTAGTGAAGGCAGGCAACTGGCCTGTGACCAAAACAAACACAGTTCATATAATTCAAAGATTCAGACAAGATAATTGCTGTAGTTGCTATAAGTTACACAGAATTGTAAGGGTTGGAAGGGACCTCCAGAGATCATCGAGTCCAATCCCCCTGCCAAAGCAGGTTCCCTACACCAGGTCGCACAAGTAGGTGTCCAGGCAGGTCTTAAAGATCTCCAGAGAGGGAGACTCCACAACCTCCCTGGGCAGCCTGTTCCAGTGCTCTGTCACCTCACTGTAAAGAAGTTCTTGCACACATTTGTGCAGAACTTCCTATGTTGCAGTTTCTGGCCATTTCCCCTTGTCCTGTCTCTGCCCCCCACACCTTAGATATTTATAGACCTGGAACCTGATCAGGTTCCCTTTCAGTCTTCTTTTCTCAAGACTAAGCAGACCCAGTTCACTTAGTCTTTCTTCATAGGGGAGATAAGTTACATGCATTAGTATACTTAAGCTTAAATATGCAGGTCGCAAACTGAAATGGGTCATATCCACCCCCTTCCTAAAGTTAAGTTAGCTAAATTACTATCACTTTCTCAGTGTTAGAACCTCCCAAGTTGTTTATTTTGGATCACTTTTACAGTATAAATGAATTGCCTACCTCCTGAGGCGATGACAAAATACTTTTGAACAATTTCAGACCTGGTGTTTGAAGACAGTTTCAAACCTTGAGGGATGAGGTCTTCCTAGAGTAGCATTGTAATCACTCTTCTACTTACTTCCTGCCTTCTTTCTTTTTCTAGATGAATGTGAAGAAGTTGAACAGCAGTGTCAGAAAACAATTCAGCAATTGGAAGTCATTTTGGGAGAGCCACTCCAAAGCTACTTCTAAGTTTATCCCCTTTGTTTTTATACTCTGTCTGAATTGTGTTAACTTCACATGTGCCCTGTGCTATAGGCAAATTGTTGTAGTGATTTTTATCTAAGATCTTAACTTTTTAATAAAAATATTGTAAGAACATGGCTTTATCACTTCTGGAGGGTCTAGGGTTCACTTTTTTTTTGTTATGCTGACTTCCCTTAACACTTGCAAACAAAATAAGCTATAAGCAGATACTGTTCACTGACAGACAACATGCGAGACTGTCATGAATATCCTGTGGCTGGAATCTGCACTTGCTGTATGTGTGGGGGCCGTCCTGCTACAGCAGTACTCACTGAACCCATACCCTGCAATTTTGATAATGTACATTTGTGTTATTTTTATTAAGTAAAAAATGAACCCACTGAAGATTCTGAACAGAAGGCTACAAGAACATTCTGAAAGAAAGCAGTTCTACTTATGCTGATGTTCACACGAAAACATCTCACTGAACTTTTAGAAAGATAAAGACAAGAATGTACAGGTGGTATAGCAGCCCTTACCTAGTGGGAGCTGCCTACAGGCTTCTCTGTTCCAATCAGCCAGTTCAGTTTATCCTTAGAGGACAGCACATGAAGGCCAGGCCATATGTGTGGCACAGCTAAGGTGCAGGCCTACACACAGTGACTGCTCTACAGGTCTGTAACTCAGAGTGGAAATGGGCCTCAAGTCAGGGCCACCTTGGAGAAACAGATAAGTCAGTAAGCAAAATGACACAAAGCAGGCCAAAGGGATTGTAACTATTTAACTACATCTGGAGAAAAGCATAGTTCACATGTTATTTTTATTTATGCTTTTTATACACTTAATGTGGTAGTTTACCTTTAACAGCTTTTCAGGTATATTTTATTCTCAGAACTTTCACTCCTTCAGTAGCTGTTAAAATGAATAGAAACAACCCTCAGACAAGCACTGACAGCCAGCAGCAACTTACTTATTTTTAAAAATAAGCATATATAAAAATTAAGACTGACAGTTGTAAGGAAAACTGATAGAGTAGGAACGGCTTTTTTTAACTAGCATTTTAATGCAAGACTGCAAAAGGATTTATTCTCTATTCTACTGATGAGAATCTCTGAGCCTCAACTCAGGGTATTTAGGTTCGTATATTTTAAAATGAAAAACAGACATCTACTTTAGTCCCTGAGCAATCTCAATACACTGGGAACCATTTCTGATCAAATAAGCATTCCGAAGTCCATGCATTAGAACCAGCTAAATTATTTTCATTTGTTTCACTTTGGAAAACTATAAGCTAGAAATACTGATCTGTGTTTGATTTAAGCCACTTATGAGCAGGAGATGACACACCGAGGAGTCAGAGAAGGTACTATTGCAGCAGCAGGCTAAGAAGTTGCTCACATACCTCCTTGCCTTCCATGAGAACTGATGAGTCAGTTGTTTTTTTTTTAAAACCAGTCATGACAAAAATGTTATAAACACTAGTATAAATCAAGCAGAATATATTTTATAATTACTTTATGACTGGTCCATCACCCTTTCAGGATAGACATATCTTCATATTCTATTTCAGACTAATTTCTACTTCACTTTTTGAATGTACACTTAAGGAATGACTGACTAGTAGTAGTTAATCATACTGAGCACAATTGTTAAGACACAGTACGATGCACCATTTTCATATTGCTAGGTTCAGTAACGCAGGTGATTTATCTGAGCAGACATTTAGCTTGCCAGAATACTGGAAACTAGTGGAGGATTCAATCTCTCAGCAGTTCTGGTACTCGCCTAACTCAGACTGTCACAGAAGCCTGGATAAATAAAGGCAGGCTCAGCATGAGTTGGTTTGTTTGTACTTGACAGAACTGTTGTAAGAGTAGGTTTAATTCATTTAGTACTGACTGAAAAGAACTACCAGCTCCTCACATCTAATAACTGAACATCTCCTATGACTTCCAGGAGGTTGATCTTTTCAAGTTGTTTAAAACGATGCTTGTACTCCAGGGTGTGAACACCATTAACAGCAACTTTGAACTGGTGGGCATCACAGAAAATGATCAGCTGAAAAGAAAGAACAGTTCAGTTAAGACATGAAAAATAAGTTGACACTCTACCATGGACTTGGGCAAGCCCTGCTTCTGATACTAATTCTGATATATTACTTTCATACAAAAGAAACACTGAAAAAAGTGAAACATCAATAACATTTAATTAAAACTTTGTCCTGAGCATGCACTGAATTCTTACAATTATGTAGAAGAAAACATTAAAACAAATTCAAATCTTTGCTTCCCACAATCCTATTAAATCCTAACATTCTTAAGGCATTTGAAATGCAAGAATAGCAGTTTCATTCCAATCTGCATTAGAATGGCATTTATACACCAATGCTACTGTTCTTTTAGCAGAATGACAACTCCGACTCTGCATTTCAGTTAACCTTACCTCAAAGTACATCCCCGGACTGAAAGGGAAATTAGTGATTTCCTTTTCTTCTTCTCCCCAGCTGTCATGAAGGTAAGAATTTCTTACAAAGACTTTATTCTTCAGTCGGGGATTCAGATGTAATGCAATGTCTTTTGAGTCACTTGATTTCAGGTTTATTGTAAAGCTGGAAGACATTTTTAAAAATAAGTTGATTAGACCAAGAGTTAATAAACATGAAGCAGTCCATACTATTTACCAAGCTCTTAGGCAAATACTCAGGTCTGCTCAGGAGCCAGGGCTGTGATCCACTTAACCAACCAGGTTGTCTTTGGCACAACCTCTGCTGAAGATGCAATTGTAGGACCATAACTGCTACATCTGCTTCATTGCTCACAGCTTTCTGCTTATCTTTCAGCAAGGAGGTTCTGAGCCAAGTGCTGTCCCTACAACACTAGGCAGAAACATACTGTGATACTTGTTCCATTATCTCTTTTCCATATACTTGTGCAATGGAGAGTGGGAGGCTTTCTTTTATCTAAAGACATTATATTTGTACTTCCAACAAACCGGTTAGACTCTAAGAAGTTTGAGGATTCTGCATGTGCAACATCAGTGGGAAAGCATGCCTACAAAGCATTACTCTATAGACAGAATAGCTCTGCCCAGGCTGACCAGAACATCCTGCAATCTGACATGATCTCCACAGCAAAGGGCTCCTGTGAGGGTAGCTCAAGGGGCCAGGGGGAAAAAGCAACCAATATGTCAAAGGAATGCTTCAACATGCTGCAGTGATCTCACTGCATTTGAAGAATATTCCTCTCACCAAATTAACTCCAGCAGTCAGGTCATTTTCCTCCGTTTGGAAAGCCTTGAGCCACTTAGTATAGATATGAAATGTAGCAACTATCACACTTTGGAGCTATCAAGCCCTCTCTTTCACAGAGAACAAGGAATGCTTATGGTTGTGTGACTTAAGTGAAAGGCATTAAATAACGTAAAAATTCTGTAAAAATCTATACGTCCAAAGCACGAATGCAAAGAGCAGACAACCCAACAATACTTTAACACCCAGCCTCTTTACACATATAAGACAGCATTTAAAATGTGCTAATAAGCTTTTCAAGCCAAAAGAAGAACAAATGCTGCTATGTCAGTATTTATTCTCCCATTCAATTCCAAGTCCATTCAGACTTATGAGATCTCTAGATCTTGTATCCCAGTAATAAGGTAAACTGTTAGGGCCATACAGCTGCAGGAAAGGTGACAGGTGTTCTGAGGAAGCAGAAGTGGGATGCATACACACAAAGCAAAAAAGCATGCTCCTTATCATTTGCACTTAGTGCTTCATTTTTAGGCATGTTTCTACAGAGCCCAAACCACCCTTAAAGTCAAGGGCACACTGAGGCATGGACATGTCCTCAACTTTATTTTGACTACATTGTGCTCCCTTTCCTTTCTTTAAATTACATGGGAAAACAGCATCTTTGCAATTTGTTGTTTCTTATTTGCTATCAAAATGATAGCTCATACTTCACTATCAGCTTTTATAATCGTTGTCAGCTAGGCACCTTCCATCTCTCATCCCCAAGGTCAACAAAAAGTATTCAGAGAAATCTTTAACGTGCAGCATTTAAGCACATTAGCAACTCACCTCACTCACTAATTTTTGTCCAATTTTGCCACTTTCCTCACTCTCAGATCTCTTAAGAATAACAGCTATCTTTGTACTGCATGTGTGCTTGCATGCCTTGTACAATGGAAATCCAAAACAGACACACAACTTCACAAATGATGCAGGTTTAGCAGGTAAGGCAATCAGATTTTACCTTCACTTTTCCCAATGGAGCTGTTCTTTAAGTCTTTTCTAAAGCAGCGTCCTGCAGGTTCCTGAGAAAACTGCATTGTAGTTTCAAATGATTTCAGACGCAAAATGGTAAGTCAGAAAAGATATACCAGGGCAACAGAAAAGCTTATTCCTTCTCAAGAGCAGGTCAGTTAACAGCAAAAAAAAAAAAAAAAATCACAAGATTTACCTCTTTGGGTTTTTATTCACTTCTCCTTTAATAGCAACTGTGCATCCTGGATGAAGTGCAGAAACAAGTTTCCCAACATAAGGAACTCCCTGGAAGTAGAGCACCAGTGAAAAATATGACTAACTTTTTTTTTTTTTCAACATAGAAACTGAGTTTTACTACAGCAGGAAAAAGTCCAGCCTAGAGTTTCACATCTGTGCTCCCAGCTAAAGTTACTCCCATTGATACATTCCAGGATATTAACACTATAACAATGAAGTTACACAAAGACAACCAAAGCAATGCTTACTTCCCCCCCCCCCCCCCCCCCCCCCCCCCCCAACTTTTCCACTGTGCTACAAGTTAATTCGATGAGGGAAAAGGAATGAACAGTAAAAATAAAATAAATACTTTGTGTTTCTTTTCTTCTTTCAAGTTCATCACTTGTAAGTGACAACATTACCTAGAATTTGGTTTAAGAGTACTAAGGAAGGCACCGTTAACCAACAGAGCAACTAAAGCACTCCCTACAAGTCCACTTCCTCCATAATTCTATTTGTATCTATTGCTGACTTTCAATCCCTTTTCAATTTGATTGTGGTCTTTACTCCAGCTTGCATGCTGTCCTCCTGTACAATTTTTTGCAAAAAGATGAGCACTCACTCTGCCTATGCTCCTCACCAGCTGGGTGCTGGCTAGAACCAACCCTAAGCTGCAATGCTTAAATCCACCCACCTGAGGCATATCCAGGGTAAGCACAGATCAGTCACTAGGAGGGATATGTAACCAGAGAAGTCCTGAGATGCACATATTAACATAAGTTCATCTAACTTAATAGGACTGCAGAATATTTTTAAACGCAAGTTGTTCTGCAATAATCGCTAATGGGAAGAAACTAAGCATGTTTACTTGAACAAAGGTTTTGGTATGACTTGGTCCTACCTTTAAAGTTTAAGGCACTCTACAGTTCATTCCTCTACTTAGGGCTATGGATACCATGTTTGATACAGTTATTCTTTGGGTTTTCTGTATGGTTTACCAAATAGCTTCACATTTACTAGTGCTAACAAAGTGAATTGCTCTAAAATCTCATTGATGAGCATTTCCCAGGTGATTCTCAATTCCCTTGCTCTGTGATTGTTTTTTTTTTTCCTTGATCAAGGGTTGTTTTTTTGTTTTTTTTGTGTGTGTGTTTTTTTTTTTTTTTTTTTACTTTTCACTGCCTGAGTCTACATGAGATACTTACAAATTGCAAACCATCTGGCATTTCCCCCTACAAAACAAAACACAAAACATTAAGTAATTTATCAGACAACAGGGAGACTCATTCATTCCTTTACAAACATACGTACATTTTCTGTGTTTATCTTTGTTACTCCTACAGATGATGGCTGAGAGCCTTGTACAGACTGCAGAAAAAGAGATATTTACATGTCATTGCTAACACCATAGAACATGAAGATGTTTTAGAAACATAATGGCTCTGTGTTCTTTTGAAGGTTGAATTGTTAATGTAGAAATTAGGGGTTATGGAACAGAAAGACTGCCAAGCCCCCATAAATGCCCCCCTACAAAGGACAAGTCTTAAAAAAAAAAAAACAATTGCTGAAGCCAAATCAAGATTTTCAAAATGTCCTGGATTCAGCTGGGCAGGGCTGATTTTTCTTTCATTGTATGGTGCTATATTTTGACTTTAAGAGAAAAACTATGTTGATAACAACCAGTGTTTCTAGTTTTTGCTGAGCAGTGCTGCACAGAGCCAAGGACATTTCAGTTTCTCAGTTTCTAGTACCTGTGAGGGGCTGGAAGGGCACAGGGAGCTGAGAGGTGATAGAACTGAGACAGGTGATCTAAGCTGGCTAAAGAGACATCCCATACCATATAATATCACAAAAAAAAAAAACCACAAAACAAAACCAAACAAAGCTTACAAAATGAATGAGGAGTTGACTGGGCAGGAAACAGCTGATTAGGGTATGGCTGGGGGGCACTGGTGGGTAGTTGGTGAGCAATTGCTTCTGCATCTTCTTTTGTATAAAATATATAGCATCACTATTATATTTTTTTCCTCTTTCTGTTCTGTCTAACTAAACAGGTTTTTATCTCAACCAGAATTCTACTTAATTTTTTGTTTTGTTGGTTTTGGTTTTTTTCTCAATTCTCTCTTTGACACCACTGAGGGACAAGGGGGCAAGCAAATAACTGATGTTTAGCTGCTTGCTGGGTTAAACCACCACCAAAAGACTACCTCTTTACAGTTTGAATCCTTATTTAACAGTCAGAGCACTCCTAACCCATTAGCATCTGAAGATACCTACTCAGCTTTCCTGGCTGGTGTAGGAGTAGCAGCAGGAAAGATACACAGACAGATTGTACGGGGAGTGGAGGGGTGGGGGTGTACTTGGAATTCCTGTCCACTTCCCATATCTCTGTCCCTTTCCACTGTGTATCATATAAACAACATAGGCATGCACAGATAAAATTCCAGCATATCCACAGCATATTGTATCCAGTTTATTTCAGGATAAGCACTCTTCCCCCTCAGAAAAGCATGCACTAGAAGCAAAGACAGAAAGGAAACAATCATCCTTGTTCCTTCTTCTCTTCCTCAAAGGATATAGAATCAGTACCACAGAGTAAAGCAACTCTGTTTTGTGCTTGGGACAGAAACGAACATACTGCACCTGCTTGTCTCCAAGCTCTTCTTAGAGCTGGCCCTCCAAGACTGGGTCTCAGAGACAGCTTTGATGCATCATTTCTCCAGCAACATACAAGGCCAAGTAGCAGGGCTCATAAAAAAGTCTGTACATATGCTTTACAAATGATCAGTGAGTAGACTTATCTTTAAAGCTCAGGCCCAAATCCTCACTTTCCCTTAGAGGAGGTTATTAGTCTGATGACCTGAAATAGACCTGGTGTTTGGCAGCAGGAGACCCAAGCTTTGCCCATAATGCAGTGAGGGCAGGGCAGAACAGACCAAGCATACTGCACAGAAATATAGGGTGCCTCAGTGAGCAGCAATAAGGAAGGAACAAAGCATTTGTCTTCTTCACCTCCCTGGTATTTACAACCTCCCCTTTCTGCTCTCTCACTCTTCCAGATCAAAGGATTGCTCTTTCTGCACATCCTCTCTGTTGGTTTACTTTCTCCAATAGAGATAGCAGTTAAGAGGCAGGGGCCTTCCTTGTTCCTGAAGATAGACTAAGTAGCTGCTTTTTTATTATCTTTTCACCATAAATCCTACTCTAAAGTTTAGCAGGACAGAGAAAGGGAATCTTAAAAGTCAGCTGTTTATAAAACTTACATTAGAAACAAACTCTATACTTTTGATCTGCACTTTGCCATATATTCCAAGAGTATCTATCCTTTCAAGGTTAATTCTGTGATTGTAGAGCAGCAAGTGCTTCTTGTTTACAGACACCTAAAGAGACAGGGAAAAAAAGTAGGAAAAGTCACATTAAACAGTCTTTAAAGAAAAACTCCTGAACTTTTCTATAATTAGACCATACATAGGTAACAAAGAAACCAAGGCTTCCAATTATATTGTACATATGCTAAATGTCTCTTTTATTGATCTGACAACTGGAACAAGAATCAACCCAAACTCACCTGGAATTTATCCTTTAAAATCATGATTACAATCTCAAATGGCCTCCCTTTTTGAAAAGGCATCTCATGAGTGATTTCTTCCCAGCCCCATTTTTCTCTCTCCAGGGTGTTGCAAACAACACAGCCAGACCATTTGAAGCGGGGGTTAAAATGAAAGGCCACATCAGCTCGAGGCTTTACGCTACTGCCACACTGTAAATCCACCTGGAACCTAAACATAAAAATAAGACAAACCATGTTTAATTCAGTGTGTCAAGAAATCATGTACAAGTTCAACTGATAACCTCTTCAGATAAGTATATGCGTGTCACGTGGAATGACGTGACAGAGAAATAATGTCAAAGCAGACAGAGCAAAAAGGAGAAGAGAAGGATCAATGGAAAACAAATCAGTTCATCCTCGATTTTCATCACAAAACTTTCATAAATGACTTAAGTTTGTATTCTGTGACACCATCACTTCAACTAAAGATGAAGTTCTTCATCTACCATCCTACATAGGACATCTGGAAACATTATATTCATTATAGATTTGTTCACCTGATGATAATTTACAAAGCGATACTGTAGTTACTACCTGTCTGCATCATCAGGAACACTCCCATGTATCACAATCAGCTCTCCAGGAACAAGACCACCATGAATTGTCCCAACATAAGGAATGACCTAGAAGGAGGAGGGCAAAAAGACAGAAATAACAGTTTGTGATGGAGGCAAAATGTTTTTTAAACAATATTTTTAATATTTAAGTGGTGCTCTAGCACATTAAAAGGACAACAACTAGTATTCCATTTAAATGAAATAGTCTGCCATGAACAGAAGGGAAAGCCAAGATTTTCATCACTGAAGATTAGCCTTCCCAGATGAGATTAAATCTAAACATTTACAGCCTTCACGCATAGCTCTCAAAAGAATTACGGCAATATTTTACTGCCTCACTTTCAATGAAGAGAATTCCTCTTCAAACTAGGTCATTGTCAAGGACTAACTATTGCCCTTTGCTGGTTGAAGGAGGTATCTTGCACAAGTTTGTGTGGTTTCTTTGTTTTTTGGTTTTTTTTTTTTAAACACCAGACTACAGCTGCTGCATTTTGGCTTGTTCTTCTTTGAAAAACAGTGATAGGAAAGACAGCTCTGGCAGAGAGCAGAGTAGAAATGACAGCAAAAAATCTGAGTGTTATTCATTTCTACCTTCTCACTCTCTCCTTCCCCTCTCAGCTACCCATATGTTGCACAAAACCTGTCTTTGAGGTCATCATCTACATTAGAGATATCAGACTTGCTTCACAAGTATTATAAATGCGCAACTGTCCAAATTGTTAAAAGTTTCGTGGATTTTACTGGCTTAGCTGGCTACAATAGAGGAGGAGGAGAACATAGAATTAGGTATTACAAGTGAAAGAACAAACAGACTGATAGAATTCATTTGTTTACTGGCAACAGTGTAGTAGCTTAGTTCCATAGTCAACAAGTTATACAAAAATGCTTAATTTTACCCAAATAACAATAAATAAGAAAAACACACATTCTGCTTATTTTCTGTGCATAATGCAGTTTAAACACAGTGTTCCTGAGGGGAGCAGTAGCTTTGAGAATCACAACAGTGTGTAAGTTACTGGTTCAGTCTCCAAAGATGAACCAATAAGAAACATGCAGACACAGCCCAGGGATGCTTGGATTTGAATACTCCAATGGGTCGAAGTTATTTATATTTGGAGACATCGTAGCAAGAAAATTTTCTCTTACATCCAGAAGGATACATCTTATAGAAAACATTGGCCATCTTTTGCACAGAAGCTCTGTCTTGGAATTTGCATGGCCATAATAGAGCATTTCCTGGGCATCATAATACAGACTTAACAAGGTTCCATCATTACAGAACATGCCTGTCATTTCCTCACTTCTCAAGAACTGTGCTAATTTTAAATCATCATTAAGAATATAATGCTTATTACACTACTTAATGCTTACTACAGTACACTTGATTTTTCTTCATCCCAACTCATATAAACCTCCAGAAGCTTCCCATTAAGCCAACTGGCCAACACTAACTCAGTTTGAATGGCCTCAAAGATCAATTTGCAGACTTTGTCTGGAGGCTGTCCTGAGTTTATTGGAACAACCTTTCACACATCTGCCTTTATTTTCCAATCCCAAAAAATTGCTCTTAATCTAGGCTCTTGATGCTAATGCCCCAATTCTACCTCTTTATGTTCTCCAGCTTGGTCTTGTCACCCACCGTACCCATCATTCCCCTTACAGACATCCAGTTTTGCTGAACTCTTTTTCTCCTTACAGAGAACTCCACCTGTACATTTACTAATCCTCCTCTTCACATCTCCTGTGCTCTTCCTCCACCAAAATCAGGCTCCAAAACCCTTAACTTCCCTCCTTTTTGCAATTCAGTCCTTGCAGCTCCAGTTCCATCTCCACACAGCCTTCCTTCTTCTCCCAGATGGATTCTCGTGAAGAAAGCCAAAGCTATTTCCCCATCACCCATTAGTCTATCCACTTTACAAGCAATGAACAAGCAGTGGAACTAAACAATCAGATGCATGTGAGGGCAATGGACTGTATCTCTTGTAGTTTTGCACTGATAAGGAAGTCCTGCATAGGTGTGTGACACTATACATTTCCAACCCTGGCAATTCTGTGATTCTGTGATTTCAGAGATTCTATATAGACCCAGTGTTTCTTAACATTCTGTCCTAGAACTATGACAAATATCTATCCCCTGTTTTTAAAGAGACAATGAGAAGAACAGCTCCAGCCCATTCCTCATGCCAGTGCAAGGCCACTGCCGCAGAGCACAAGTAGAGAAATATGAGAGCCACTTATTAGGTTCTTCCTCAAACACCTGACCAACACCAAGAGCTCTCAGTAACACTCCCAACTATAGGAATGCTCTGCTAACTGCTAACATTACAGAGCAAAGTTCCACTTCCCAGGGGAGGAGTTGTTGACATAAGAGTTACCGGGTTACTGATTTTCTTCTGCAGTCCATCCAAGGACATCATCTTCACTCCTCCAGTTCAAGTCTGTCAGTTCTGTTGACCTTTCTCAGAGCGTATTCAGAGATTCACTGATCCGGCTGCACCAAAGTGTGGATCCCTTTGAAAAGCCAAAAAAGTTTTAATCAGAAAAATAAAAGTAGCACTACATGAAGTTAAACTCTCCAAAGTATAATTTTAAATATCTTTCCAGTAAGTTTGATCAACTTTTGAAATATCAAAACTAAAGGCTTGGTTAAAGTAGTAACATGCCATCATAGCAAGGGATAGTGCACACAGGTACACAGTTTTATCAGCTGCTTCTTGAGATTATGTATACTGAGACAGAATCCTGCATAAAAATCAGTATTGCACAGGGCAACATGGAGAGTAGTTAAGGCCTATCTGAGGGTTATCCATTTGCAGCTCACCCCTACCCGCAGCCTAGAAAAAGATCCACAGTAAAAATGTGTTTTCCCAAAATAAATAGTCATTTTTGATTCACCTTCGGTGCTGTTACCATTGAGTAACCTGGCAATAAGTGCTAGGGGATGAATTTCTTTTTTTTCAGCTTTATCTTACAGGAAGCTAAGGGATACTGGCCAAAGACACAGCAGGAAATAGAGGGCGTTTCTTCTCCCAACACACGCAGTTCCTGAAGTCCATAAATAACTACAAAACTCTGCAAAACATGCATTAAGTATAAAGAACTAATAAGAAAAGAAAAAATAGCTTGTAAGAATATCCAGCTACACTGTCATTTCTTTAGCATACCTTCTAAGAAAGTGACCACAAGCCAACCTCAAAACTGCTAGGTTGTTCTTTCATGCACATTCTGGACAAACACCTTAAGTTAACAAGCAAACTGCGTGGTGAAGAGTGGCAGGCAGGGAACAAGACAAAGGAAAAAGTTCTGTTGTGTGAAACTGCTAGGCACTAAATAAATAGTCTGTGACCTTCTGCAGTGACTCATCAGTGGCATGACCCATTGCAACATCTGGCTTATCTTGGGGGAAATTTGGGCCAGAAGGGCATTAACTCTCCTACTCAGGACCAGTGTCTAAAACACATTTTAGGGAACATCGGCGTTGTATGTCTGGCCTACCCTGTGCACCTGTTTTGCCCCTTTGATCTTCTCAGAGGACATCACTACAAATCCACAACAGGAATGTGATAAAGCAGGAAAATCCTACTATTTTCAATTTTAAAATAAGGAACTCGAGGCAGCACAAGTAGTTCCGAGTATAACACTGTCAAGCACAACAGCAAACCAAAGAAACAACTCCCAGATCTAAAGCCTGCTGCACAACAGCCTGCTCACTGTGCTTTCCCTGGCATGCAAATAGGTCTCCCTGAATGAGAGCAAAGAACAGAACCACAGCCACAATTTAGTGCCATACAGCTGAACTCTTAAAGATGTCAATCCTGGCACGCTAGGTGGCAATATGGCAAAGTGACTGGTTTGGCTGTTTTATGGGAAAGGTGACAGCAAGGAGGGGAAGCCGCAAGTCAGGCTCCATGTAGCTAAACAGGCAATGGATGCAGAACTGCCAGGTCCTGTGTAATCTTCCATCACAGAACTGCTGCCTGGAAATGCGACAGCAAATTCTAAGCCTGCAACGCTAAGATGAGGTTACTGCCTATATGCCTAGAATTGATGTAGATGTGCGTGCTGGGCTGTTATCTCACAGACTGCAAAGCATCTAAAGCCTGTTCAGTGAGAAACGAGGAGTCAGGAAGGCCAACGGCTATGGCACCAGCACCTTATGGCACACAGAAAACGTCTTTCAGGAGGACAAGCCAGGCTCGGGGCATAACTAAAGCTGGATTTTATACTGGGGCACACGGGGCTTCTGAGAAAAAAAAAGCAAAGAAAAACAAAAGCAAGATGCTTCAACCAAGGCCACGATCCCCGGCCAGCTATAAACCCGGCAGGACAACAAGCCATCGATACCAGAGCCACGGAGCAACCGGGACCGGCTTCATCACCAGTGGAAACCTTAAACCTCGGCCGCTCACCCCGCTGCCCCCACACAGGGGCAGATGCGGGTTTATCGCTACCTTCACCCCCCCCGGGGCCGCCCGACACTCACCTCAGCGTCCAGCCAACTTCCGACACCGCGGGGCCCGCCCCGCCCCGCGCACACATCGCCCCGCCCCGACGCGTCACCGCCGCAGCTGCGAGCCGTCCTCCGGCCGCTGCCAACGTCCGCCCGTGACGTCACCGCGCCGCCGCGGCCGGCGGGGACGCTGAGGACGGGTGGGGTGTGGCGCGGCGGCGGGCGCCGGCAGGTCGGGAGTCACGGAATATCACGAGCTGGAGGGCACTCAAAGGAATCGTCGAATCCAAATCCCGGCACCGCACAGCAACACCAAAATCCTGTGTCCGAGAGCGATGCCCAAACGCTCCCAGAACTCCAGCACTCAGGGCCGTGCCCACTGTCCGCGCAGCCCGTTCCATGCCCACCGCCTCTGGTGCAGCACCTGTCCCCAGCCCCCACTGCCCTCCCTGACGCAGCTCCATGCCGTTCCCTCGGGCCCTGGTCGCTGTCACACAGAGCAGAGCTCAGCGCTGCCCCTCCGCTCCCTGTGAGGAGCTGCAGCCGCCATCAGGCCTCCCCTCAGCTCCTCTGCTCTGAGTGCGCACAGGGGCCTCAGCTGCTCCTCACACCTCTTGCCCTCCAAAGCCTTCGTTATCATCTTATCCCTCCTTCCCCATTCTGAGCGCTGCCCTGTGCCCCACACAATGCACACGTGCCACAACAAGCAATAACAGCAAAGTTTTCCCTATTCCACATTTAACTAGCATGTCAGGAGAGAAGCAGAGAACACATTGCACACCATAATAGCTGTAGGATAGCTGCTTCAAGGATACATCAGCCCATCTGCAAAGGATTCATTCACAGAAAGGTATGACAAGGACATTTCTTCTGAGCAGAACCACAGATAACAAAGATGAAAGAGTAGCAAAGCCAATGGCTCAGGGAAAGGTGCTTCATTTAGAATCATGGAGGGCTTCAAGAGAAGACCAAGAATTGTTGTCTCAATTAGACAGTAGCAGAAAACTGCTATGAAACATTCTATGTAACTCCAGTGCAGGAGAATGAAGGAGAATGAAGTCCCAGAGCCTAAACTAGCACTGAGCTTCCCTTTGAAGCTACTGTTCCAAGACATTCCAGTTTGAAGAGTACAAAGTTTTGACAACCCAGACTAACACAGGTTTGTGGAAACCCCCTCACTTTTCCATATTTTAAAGCAATCTCAAAGCAGGTTTGGAAGTCCAGCTCAGAGACAGCAGACACACTTCAGTGTTGCGATGAAAACATAACAATATGGGAAAGGGGTGATAAGCTGAGGTATTTCTAGAAGATCCACAGAAAATAAAATTCTGTTCTCACTTCTGACCCAGGGTTCTTCTCCATTTGAGAAGAAACAATCCAAAGGAAATAAACGGATTTGAAGTATGTACCAGTTCTCTATTGAAGCAGAACAGTTTGATTAATGTGCTGATCATTTCTTTGAAGGCTGAGTCATAGGCATAGAATTTGCAGAGCTAATGTGCCTTTGACAGTGAGTCATTTGGGGTTCAGCTGGAGCAGCCTTGCACTGCACTACATCTGTCTAGTTCATAGACTGCCATCTCCCTGCTGATTCCCTCTGATTGCTGCTTTTATCATCACTTACTGCCGGCAGTTGTGATGGCATATCACAAGATCTTCCCTCTTATTCACAGTTGGAGTCCTAATTCAAACATTTGCCTTTGAAACTACAATTCCTCTGAATTTCCAAGCACACAACCATCGCTGGGACTATGCGTTACTAGCACACAGCTTGCACAGTCTGTCTTCACATATTCCAGCAGATTTTTGCTTGCTAGAGAAACAGAGGTACTTTCTCAAGACTATTTCAGCTAAGGCAAATTTAACAGCTGTCCCTGGCCAAGAGTTACCATCCGAAGGAGGACTCCAGTATCCCTACAAACTCCATCTTTCTACATATTTAGCTTTCATTTACAATGGGTTCTTTTTCTTTTCCACTTTAGAGAAGAGACTGATGTAACACCTGAGCAGCATTGTCAGAATACAATCCAATAATTAGAACAGAGCTTTTGGACATATGTAATTCAGTCCAATTGTGACAATGAATCCTTAGTTCAGATAAACATAACGCTCACTGACTAGCAGTCTATCAGCAGCTAAACTAGATTTTTTTTTGGTACAATCACTACCTGCCTGATAGTAACAAGCTTTTATGTGAGCTTCTGATACACAGTCAGGATAATCTTTCTCACCACAATGGACACTACAGTAAACCTATTGTTTGTCCCTCCCAAGAGGTGACTGTACCAAGGTCTACAAAAACATAATGCCTTAGTTCCTACTCTAGGCAGGTGACAAACAAGAAATATCATACATCTGTGCAAAGCAAAGAATGTTTGTTACATTCCCCAAACCAGAGCATGATCAAACCCAAGATCCCCAGGACCACACCTTCACACTTAGCTACACCATTATCCTCACCGCAGTTACCTTTGGATCTCCCCGCTGAGTCTCCACAGCTGCAAGTGTGCTCATTCCCACTGTCTTGCTCCATTTTCAAGAGAAATGAGGCATCTGCAGTACCACCTCCAACCGCGAGATGGTAGGTACTTTCTAATGATTAGAGAAGAAGCAATTACAAATGTACTTTTTGAACTGATGGACTCCTCAGCTACAGAGAATTAGGATCAAAACCAAAACCTAATAAGCTACTCACAGGATCGCGAATGATCTGAATTTTGAGTGGAGAGGGGGGATGCTCACATAGATTAGGCATGAAACACGAAAGAAAAAAACACAGCTACTGTAAGGATTTAGGTGCCCATTTCTCCTTCTTATCCCTGCTCTTGTTAAGAATCTTATAGCTGAGTATTTGTGTCTATGTAATCAAAAACATGAACATCTGATTACTTGCAGAGGACAAAAAAGCATTCTCAAACTAAGTATTGCATAATTTCGAAACAAACTCTTCAAAAAAATAGAGGCACCTTTATGTAGATGCATGAAGTTGCATACCTATCTCACGCAGTGCTACATTCTTCTCAAGAAGTTGAAAGATGCAGCCGAAAGGAACTAAATTTTTTACCCCAATTACCTCTCTTTGAAATCAGGAATCATCATTTTACAAAGGTAAAATACAGAGATCCAACCAACTAGCAAGTCTGCCTGGCTCTTTGATTTCCTTCCCACCACCAACAGATGATATAAGGGAGTTTTTTTCATGTCTATCAGCCTCTCCTTGCATCAGTTCTTTATAAGACAGAGTCAATCCCATGCCACCAGCCAAGATATATGCTTATGGAGTCCACCTTACCAAATAAATTATTCTCATTGCTCCTTATATTCAGCCTACCTGCCCAGTAGATCCATACCCTTCTCACCCAGCTAAGGCTGTAACTGACTGTAGCCAGGCAGACAGGACTACCTGATCTGAGGGGCCAGGAAATGCAGTTCAGTCACAAGAAGCAACAAGCCCGAGTCCTCATTTCATAATGTTCTGACCCACTGTCCAATACTGACCCAAAACTTAAGACTTACAAGATGTGTTAAGATTAGTTAAGAACAACAAATCACTTCTTCATGGATGGGAGAGAACATAATATACTGCAAAAACTACAGAAGCAGACTGATCTTTAAGTTATTATAAATGCCACGCACTCTGACCTTGCTTAAACAATTCTGCTGTGCCTGCTAGTTTTCAGCTGTGTGGCCATGTGTCAGCATTACCACAATTTATGCTACCATAAGGCAGAATTTACATTTTTTCCCCACTTGCTCACAGCTTGACTTGCAAGTGTGTAAGGCAGTCAGTTTGAGACTGAAAAATATGAGGTCCCTTGTACCAGGTACTGCATAGACTTAAGCTGCAGCTCTATAGTATATCACAGTGCTTCGGGAAGAAAAGAATTTGAGAATTTCTGTACAACTGTTTCCAAGCAAGCACCTGGGACCATGCTGACTACCCTGTTCTTTATGGTAGGCTTCCAAAGGACAGCTCAAAACCTCATTTTGCACTCTTGTCCAAAGATCACAGGGAAGTGCACATAGTGAGTAAGGCAACTGGATTCTGTCACTCTCATTTTTTGGGGATGCCCCACAGCTGGCCTCACAGCAAAACTAAAGGTTCCTGGAGCACTGTACCTTTGCTGTTGAAGAACACTTACTGTGCACACATTCAGTTAATGCTGTAGGAATGAAAAGAATACAGAAGTTTGGACATCTTCCTGAACCTAAAATGGGTGGAAAGGGCCACATATATACATACCATACATCCTGCAGGTATAGGTGGCAGCTAAAAAAAAAAAAAAAAATCAGGACATGAAGGGAGAGCAGGTCTAGTGTGGGAATAGGAGAATGATATAATGGAATAAAATTAAAAGTCTAGCAGAATCTTTACAGTATGTAGTTATCCAGCTTTTGTTATCAGTTTAATTATTAATTCAGAAAGAGTTCACCCAGTGCAGGTGTCATACCTCTTCATTTAGTAACCACTGCAAGTTTTCTAGATAAGCAGCCTTGTTCAACATCTTATCACAATTTTCTCTTTCCTTTATGAAAAGTATATCTTCCTTGGCAGTATCTGTTCCAAACATAAGTGCTCTAAAAAGCTATGGATTCTGCATATTACGATGCTTTTACTTAGCACTACTAATTGATAGTTCAGTAGTTCCAAGGTGATCGACGAGAAGGAAAACAGCTGTTTTCCTAGCTGTAAGAAATAAAAACAAATACAATAAAATTACTGATAAACTGTATTTTTTCTAAACATAGTATACATTATAACAGAAGAATGCTTAAAGTGAACAGACCCAGTATCTTGTAAATAGATACAAAACTAAAAAAATTGTGTACACCTCAATTCATGCCATACAAAGGTGAAAAAAATATTTCAAGTACACAATTGAGTTATCCAGTGTGTGATGAAGTTTAAGGCTAACATTTTTAGCCTTCAGTGCAGAATTCACACAGAGTCCACATATAAACTCCCAAAAGCAGCTTTATTTTCCAATATGAATCCTTGCAACTGACATTGATTTTTCAAGAGTTTCAGGGGATCAGAACTAGCTTCCACCAGACAACAGCATTTGTTCAATTTGTGAGTAGACATGCCAGCCCTCATCACTCATAAGAACAACTTAAGACACAGACACATGATCATAAATCATGCATGTAGTGGGCCTAACGTACAGGGATTATGTTGGACAAGCTGCATATGGGCAGTTTGCATGTACACAGTGGATGACTCTGTATGAATTGAAACAAGCAGATAGTCTAGCCACAATAGCAATCCTCAAAGCTGATTCCAGAACCCCTAACTAAAGACAGAAGATGAGCAGCAAGAGCTCACACATCTATCAGAAGACTCCATCGGAAGACAACAAAAGCGAAGCATTTGAACTGCAGCCCCTTCGAAACAGAGCAATAATTCTTTCACTTTAAAATATGGCTAGAAAACATACTGTTCTGAAGAGTAGCAGCTTTTCTGAGGGAATGATTACAATTATATACAAATAGTTGTCAAAACTCCAGTTTTTCCACAATCTTTAAAAAAATAAAAATTCAAACATCAACTGTAGGTCACTCTTATCTTGCAAGTAGATCTTCAGTTTCTTAAGGACAGTGCAATAAAGATAATTTAGATCATCCCCAGAACTGGTGCTTGAAATCAAAAGTTAGTTTACATTTAACTTCTCAGTAACCTTTTATGCCAGTACCTATATTATTACTAATGTCCTTTTCCATTCTCTTACATTAAGAAACTCAGAAAGCAACCTGACAGACTTTCCTCAGCTGTGCCATTAATTCCTACTTGAGCAAAGTGAACAGTACCTCAGTCTGTGCCCCACTCTAGTTTTGCCCAGCATCTTGACATACTGTTCACCACTGCTACATTATATACACATCTATGTACATATTTAGTACCATCTGCAATGTTTTAGTAAGGGTGACAGCTAGAAATATTTAAGTAACAACATTGGTGTATGTGGCATTACAGCAACAAGTACTTTATACAGCCTATTATACAATAGAGTTTTCAGGTTTTTTTTTTAAACTACTAGAATACCAAAGAATGGCAACAAAATTCTAGAAATATCTTCAATGTAAACAGCATTTTTCAGTATATCAACAGCCTTTTATATGTATCAGTCTAAACCAATGTAAGTGCTTTAATGACCAACCACTTAGATCTGTAGGCAAATCCACCTGTGGATTTCCCATTACAATGCTTTAATCAATACATGAACTTGGGCTACTTTCATGCAATCACTTTGGTATAGGACAGAAAGCAGGTCAGACGACAGGAAGGCTGCAAGGAAAACCACAGTTTATGAACAAGTTATACTTGTTCTTATACTAAGGATACAGCGGTATCCTGGGTAAGACATTCTCTGTCACTTCACACTGCAAAGTGAGAGGCACTTGAGCAAAATCAAACAACACTCAGAGTGAACAGTTTATTCAAAACTATGGAAACTAATTTTAACTATAAAGCATATTAATTGTGGTGGGGTTTTCTAAGTTAGTTTGTTTGGGGGAGGGGGATTTATGGGCTGGAAAGTATTTCTGAATTGGATGATTTCTTCATAGGAAATATATACCCTATGATGTAGAAACATGCAATTATTTTAACATCTTGTCCTGTTTGTAAAGAGACTCAGAATTTAATTTCGCCTGTATGTGATGTTCAAACATTCAGTTAATTCAAACATGGAAATCCAAACTGCTGCTTGGACAATCAAGTTGTGTCTGTGCCAAATACAGTGTCATAAAGCTTAAAAACTAGAAAGAAAAAAAATATCCTCTTGTCTTCTAGCAGGAAGAACACAAAAAACCTGTGGAAAGGCTATCAGAAAAGCTAAGAGACTTGCCTTCTAATTGCAGCTTTCCCAGCAGTGACAACACACAACTGACTTACATGGCTCACAACTGTTATAATTATATCACTGGTCTGGCTTTTTCATTCTTCTTCTGCTTAGGAAGCCTACAAACAGCAGCAAAGAAAAGTGTTTGTAGACTTGAAAACACAACCTGCATTATTCTATTCACTTTTGAAAAGTTACCTTTACAACCCCGAGGGCACAGACCATATATATGTGTATACAGTACAAAAGCTTACACAGTATACAGACTGCCAGCACAGACTGTCTCTCTATCACAAGAGAAACTTCCCATCTACTAGTTGCAGCTAGTCCCAACATTTAACAACCAGGAACTAACACTTTCCTTGACCTACAAGTCGTTCTGGTAACTTCTTTTTCCTCTCTTGGGCCATTCCTCCTCCACCCACTTCAGTAGCACTTTCACAACATCAATTCTCTTATAAAATTTACAGAGCTCAATCAGCTGCTCCACAGTCCTGTCACTATTTCGTAGCAAAAACTCCAAGGTGGGACTCTGGGGCTTCTGTTCAAGGAAACACAATTCATCATAAGTCATCCCCCACTTGCTTGCTAAATTTCTCCAGTTTTTCACTGTTGGGTGGCAGGGATCCAGCTTTAGCCTCACTGTGTACAACAAGTCCTCGTCATTGAGCATGTCACTGATGGTCGGTGCACGGAATAAACACAAGGAGCAGGTACTATTTTCTTTGCAGGCTTTCTTGAGATCTGTAGTTAAAACCATTGTATAGAGAAAAGTTAGGATCTACTGCTGTGTTGTTAATTCGAACAAATTTAAAAAACACAAGAGTTTGAAGAGTATTACGTTCCCATGAATATTTCTGAAGAAGTCAGAATACTGACATGCAGTTGCTTTTCCTCATGAAGTATTCCTGAAGTTAACTTCCTAATACTTTTTTTTTTTTTTGCTAATAATGGGTAATAATCAAAAGGACAGTACTTCTGAAAGTGTCATTTCACTCTTTTCTACAAACACTGTGCAATTTAAGTGTGGGTACTCCTCCCCTTTTTTTTTTTGCTAGGTACATTACATCCTTCAGTCTGCCATGACCCCCACGTATGTCACTAACAAGAATATGTGCACATTATGCACATCTTGTATAGATATGTTGCAGGACAAAGGAAAAAAGTTTTGTATTTCTGAGCTGCTGCTTTCATAACACCACTAAATATTTGTACCAGGAGAATCTTAACAATGGCAAGATAGAAATATGTTCCTTTGTTTGGTAAGAGCTCTTCAATAATGTTGCCTCTGTTCTACTAAGCAAGCCTATTTTAAATGTACATTACAAAGAGAAATAGAGTGCATACTCCTCCTCCATGTGCGAGAAAAATAAGAATACCAAGATACTGGAAGTAGGTGGTGATATGTTCCAAAATCTGCAAATGAACTGCCATTTAGAGGTCTCCCACACGCAACAGTATCTGCCTAGCACTGAAAACAATGCAGTCCTATCAGATCTGTATATTATATATTACATATTACTAACCTGTAAAAGAAATAAACATTTCTAATCATGCTTCTAGTTAAATACTAAGATCTCTAGTACTGCAGTAGTCTAGGGCATTGTTTTAGCACTCTGACTGCAGATATGACCTTAACTAGCTCCTCCTTTTTGAATTTTAGGGAGAACTTGGTATGTCCAAAGAGCAGCAGGTAATTAATGCAGCCTAGAAGTACTTCCTAAAAGTTCTGGCCTCCCTAATTGTGCAACCTGAAACAGCAAAGTAATTAGTCCTACTTGGGATGAAACCCTTTGAAAAAAGAATGCTACAACAAGAAAACTGATATAAGGAGGTTAAAAACAACAATGACATTGTTTCAGTGTCAAATGACAATGAAAACAGCGACACCAAGTGCTGGATTGGTACTGGTCTGAGAGACTTCAACTACATCCCTGGAAAAGGGCAAATATGGCAGTCAGTGCCACCTAATCTAACAGGTAACAGCATCAGTTAATCTTTTTTCCTTCATTTGCATTAACTGTCAAATTGTGTAAAAATTCCAGAAAGACCTTCAAAAGGTCACTTTTTATGCTGGATGTTATTGCTGATTAAAGCAACTAAGGTGAACATGCATCTGCAAACTTTTTCTTTTCCTAGGACAAGAACAGGCTATTGTTATTTTTGTAGTGCTGCTCGTAAGCCTTCTTTTTAAGCAGGCTAAAGACAGCTTCTGATGTTTTCAACAAGTTCAGACGTGCAGCAACAACACTGTTGGAGACAAATAACTTCATACAAATGTTCAGATTCCCTTTTAAAAGGAAAAATGTTCTGGCAACATCTTTGCTCCCAGGTTTTCCAGAGCCTTCACAGCTGTTCTCTAAGAATTTTTTAATATCAGCAATTCTGCTCTTCTTGCACATCTTAAGCTCTCACTGAAGTGAGACAAAATTTACTGGACTCACACTAGGATTTACTTATACAAACAAGGCAAAATGAATGTAACCCAATAAAAGATCTGGCTGAGCTCAAAGGGCAGGAGAGCACCCTATCTCAATTTCATCTTATTCGGCTTTGCAAGGATGCCAGAGTATGTTTTATCCTCCCACAGAAATAGGGAAGAAGGGGTAAAGAAAGCAAAGGGCACAATTATAGGTAAACAAAACTAAACCAACCTGCTTCTTGTGCTGTACCAAATTATCAGAAGCATTACAGAGAATCCTGCTTTCCAAGGATATCTTGTATCAGAGTACAGACCTACCTACCAGCACGATCCTAATATTACATTATATGACAAGCTTCTTTTCTTTTTTCAGAAATTCAGTTGTTCACTGTTATACCAACGGAGCTGCATATCAGCCACCAACTCCCAGCCAAGCTAAAAACACTGTGATAAA